GCCATCAGTGCTGCCAGTCAGTGCCACCCATCAATGTTGCCCATCAGTGCTGCCAGTCAGTGCCACCCATCAGTGCCCATCAGTGCCACCCACCAATGGTGCCCATCAGTGCTGCCAGTCAGTGCCACCATCAGTGCCCATCAGTGCCACCCATCAATGGTGCCCATCAGTGCTGTCAGTCAGTGCCACCCATCAGTGCCCATCAGTGCCACCTGTCAATGTTGCCCAGCAGTGCTGCCAGTCAGTGCCACCCATCAATGTTGCCCATCAGTGCCCAGCAGTGCTGCCAGTCAGTGCCACCCATCAGTGCCACCTATCAATGTTGCCCATCAGTGCCACCCATCAATGTTGCCCATCAGTGCCACCCATCAATGTTCCCCATCAGTGCCACCCATCAATGTTGCCCATCAGTGCCCAGCAGTGCCACCCATCAATGTTGCCCAGCAGTGCCACCCATCAATGTTGCCCAGCATTGCTGCCAGCCAGTGCCACCCATCAGTGCCCATTAGTGCCACCCATCAATGTTTCCCATCAGTGCCACCCATCAATGTTGCCCATCAGTGCCACCCATCAATGTTGCCCATCAGTGCCCAGCAGTGCTGCCAGTCAGTGCCACCCATCAGTGCCACCTATCAATGTTGCCCATCAGTGCCACCCATCAATGTTGCCCATCAGTGCCACCCATGAATGTTGCCCATCAGTGGGCCACCTATCAATGTTGCCCATCAGTGCCACCCATCAATGTTGCCCATCAGTGCCACCCATCAATGTTGCCCATCAGTGCCCAGCAATGCCACCCATCAATGTTGCCCAGCAGTGCCACCCATCAATGTTGCCCAGCAGTGCTGCCAGTCAGTGCCACCCATCAATGTTGCCCATCAGTGCCCGTCATTGGTGTAAATCAGTGCCGCCTCATAAGTCTCAGCTCATCAGTGCCGCCTATCAGTGCAGCCTATCAGTGCCGCCTATTAGTGCCGCCTATCAGTGCAGCCTATCAGTGCTGCCTCATCAACACACATCAGTGAAGGAGAAGAATTACCTGTTTGCAAAATTTTATAATAGAAACAAAGAAAACCTTTTTTTCACAATCTTTGCTCTTTCTTTGTTTATAGAGCACAAAATCAACCCCCGGCGGGGAGTCAATACCACCAAAAGAAATCTCCATCTGTGAGAAACAAATGATATAAATCTCATATGGGTACAGTGCTGCATGACCGCGCAATTGTCATTCAAAGTGTGACGACGCTGAAGGCTTGAAATTGCCCTGGAGGGGGGGGGGGAGTGCCCGGTAGGCGAGGGGTTAATACCAGTCAGCTGATTGGGGTTCCCATTTGACTTTCAGCTAGCCTCCCCAGAGCTCCCCTTTACATTGGAGTCCCCTCTTATGTCAGACTCCCCATCACAATCCCACCCTTATATTAGGGCCCACATCAGAGCTCCCCTTTACAGTCCCCCATGCATCAGGACCCCCATCAGAGCTCCCCTATACATTAGAGTCTCCCTTACATCAAGGTCCCCATCAGAGTCCCCCCTTATATCAGGGCCCGCATCAGAGCTCCCCATTACACTTGAATCCCCCTCACATCAGGGCCCCCCATCAAAGCATTTTACATTTACATTAGAGTCCCCCCCCATCAGAGGGCCAGATAAAGTCCTGCAATGAGCTGGCTGTGGCCCGCGGGCCGTAGTTTGGAGACCCCGATAGACATTCAGCTGATCTCTTTCAGAGATGTTGAAAAGAAACTAGAAAAGCTCGCACACCCCATGTGGTTCTGGTGAGAAGCAAATGAATCATCACAAGACATTTTCAGACTCTAACCAATGCTCAGATCCAGGACTTTTTCAAGGGTGAGACATTTCTGGGGTCGGGTTCGGTTCCCTCGGCTGTCTCTTGTATAGTGAGTGGTGGGGAAGCAATGAAGTGCGGAGAGGAGATTAGTAACAAGCCACATTACACAATCAGAGCATTAGATGAGGTGTTTGTTTGGTGGCAGGAAATTCACATGTGTCACCCGAGCATCTGAAAAGAAGAATCAGATTCTTCTCTATGTCATTAGTGGGAAGCGCAATGACATCATACAATGGCTGAAATATTTCTGCTGTGTGACAGGAGCAGCAATAAAGGGAAAGAAAAGAAAAGAAAAAAGAGAGAAGGGAAGGGAGAGGGAGGGGAGGGGAAAGGAAGGGAGGGGAGAACGGAAGGGACGAGAAGAGAAGGGAGAGGAGAAGGGAAGGGACGAGAAGAGAAGGGAAGGGAGAGGGTGGGAAGGGAGGGGAGAGGAGAGAGAGAAAGGAAGGAAGGAAGAAAGAGAGAGAGAGAGAGAGAGGGAACACAGGGGAGAGAGAAAGAAGTAAAGAGAAGGAGACAGAGAGAAGGAAAAAGAGGGGAAGGGAAGAAGAGAGTGAGAGAAAAAGTGAAAGAGGATAAGAGCGAGAAGAGAAAGAAGGAAAGAGAGAGAGGGACAGAGGAAGAGAGAGAAGAAGAGAGAGAGAGGAGGCAGGAAAGAGGGAACACAGGGGGGAGAGAGAAAGAAGTGAAGAGAAGGCGAGAGAGAGGGGAAGGGAAAAGAGAGTGAAAGAGAGAAAGAGAAAGGTAAAGAGAGAGAGTGAGAGAAAGGGGGGGGGGGGCAAAAGGAGAGAGAAGGGCAGGAGAAACGGGGCAGAGATAAAGAGGGAGAAAGGAGAAAAAAGGGAGAGAGAAAAGGAAAAGAAAGAAAGGAGGAAGGAAAGAAAGAGAGAGGGGAGAGAGAGAGGGATATATATATAGAGAGAGAGAGAGAGAGAAAGAAAGAAAAGAAAGAACGAGAGAGAGAAAACAAGAGAGAAAGAAAGAAAGAAAGAAAGAAAGAAAAAAAAGAAAAGAAAAAACGAGAGAGAGAAAAAGAGAGAGAAAGCAAGAGAGAAAGAAAGAAAGAGAAAGAAAGAAAGAAAAAGAAAGGGTATGCTCAGGGTGAACCTGCTCTCATCTGTGAAAAGCACCGGGTGCCAGTGGTAGACCGGCCAATTCTGGGGTTCAATGGCCAATGCCAATCCAGCTCTATGGTGCCGGGCAGTGAGCACAGGGCCACTGTGGAGAGAGAAAGAAAAGGGGAGATGACAGAGGCAGGGCAAAGAGAGTAAGAAGGGGTGTGAGAGAGAGAGAGAGAGAGGGGAGAGATAGAGTGAAGTGAAGGGGGGGTGAGAGAGAGAAAGAGAGGGGAGGTGAGAGGGGAATTGAAATAGAGGGAGGGATGGTGGGGGAGAGGGGAGGTGGTGAGAGAGAAAAGAGGGAGATGACAGAGGGAGGGTAAAGAGAGCAAGAGGGGGGTTGAGAGAGAGATAGTGGGGGGGGGGGAGAGAGAGTGAAGGTGTGAGAGGGAGGATGTGAAAGAGAGAGCAAAGGGTGAGGGTGGGGAGAGAGGGAGGGGGTGTGAGAGAGAGGGGAGGTAAGAGATGAGTTGGGGGGGGGATATAGAGGGAGGGTGGTTAAAAAAAGAGGGGGGAGGCAGTGAGTGAGAGAGAGAAAGGGGAGATGACAGAGGGCAGTGAGAGAAAGATAGGGGTGAGAGAGAGGGAGATGGAATGAGAGAGAGTGGGGGAGAGAGGAAGTGGGGGTGAGAGGGAGGGGGGTGAGAGAAAAGGGTTGAGAGAGTGTGGGGGGGTGAGTCCTCAGCTCCTTGGGTAAGTTCCTCCTGCCTCCCCATCCGCTCCATCCTGCCAGGTCCCACTTAGAGCCACATTCCTGTCTGAGAAATGTGTCCGGGGTTTTGAGGCAGACACATTATTCAGACAGACCTAAATATGCTGCCCCCGTATGACATCTGTGGAGCCTCTCATGGGGCCCCCTACTGACCCCGAGCCCTCGGCCAATGCCCACATGGTCAGTCCGCCCCTGAGCGTTGCTATAATGCATTGCATCTTGGTGGATTATGTTGGTACGTTTCGTTGTATCACAAAGCCTCCCAATGCTGACGTGCAGCAAAAATGCGTGTTTTCCCATAACGCACAGCTGTGATTGGACCCTTCATGATGTCATACGGCTTCATAACCTCAGACTGCTTTCTCTACCCAGAAAATGACAAGTTTGCAAAACACAAACACAAAACCACTGAATGATATAGAAAGCCGCCTTCTAGGAAAGGTCGCTGCGTCTCGTAGACGATGGTGCTCTTACCTTGCAATGGAAACATGAAAAAAATAAAAAATTCATAAAAAACAGGAGAATAATAATCAGCTGAAAAGACGCATCGTCTGCAGACATCGGGGGGCTGCAAAGATCGCTATGATAAACATTCGCACCAAATTGCACATTATTGAACGCACTGCTTGAAATTGCACGTTCTGGAAGATTTCTATCTTCTGTTCGTGGGCAACCTGAACTCTTGCAATGGAGTCATTACCGGGAACTATTCATGAGTAGAAAGGACATTTATATACCCAAAAAGCACATTTGACTGATAAAGCAGCAATGATTGATATGAATCCACCAATGAAATATGAACAAAGCACATCCCTCTATAGTGTGTCCTTGTCTCAGTCAAGAGGGTTATGGAGAATGCAAAAATCTGGTCCACCTCTGCATGGTAGTCAATCAGCTGCCAGGTTTTATTGTCAAAGCTGAAGCTAGAAACTAATTGGCTACCATGCAGAGGTGGATCAGAATCTGAGTGCTCTGGGTTTAGTAAATCTCCCCCTAAGTGTAATTTCTGTCTTCTGCCTCCTTCCTCTGCTATTAGCATGAGTCACTTCTGACAAGTTTTCCTGACACCAGGAGATACACGGTGTCAGTGGAGGGAGCTCCAGCAGATTTACAGCCTCAGCTTTGTTCCTGTGGTGCCATGTGGAGGGGGTGTCCCTTTCCTTCCAATCAGCTTTCAGAGCTCTCCTCTCTGAGTGTAACTTCAGCTCTCTGCTCCCTTGTTTCTGAACCCTCAGACAAGCTTTATAAATACAGCACTTTCAATGGATATGTAGAAAAGAGAAAGCAGATAAACAGGTACAACTTATGCAGGAGGATTTGTTTCATCTCTGAATATCACCTGAGGCCAGTCACTTCACTGGAGGTATGGAAAGGTTTACAACCACTTTAATGTGTTATTAAACCCTGGACCCCGCATTCACTATATTCGCTCTCCCCCGGACCCCACATTCACTATATTTGGTCTCCCCGACCCCGCATTCACTATATCCGCTCTCCCCGGACCCCCGCATTCATCTAAATCCGCTCTCCCCGGACCCCGCATTCACTAAATCCGCTCTCCCCGGACCCCGCATTCACTATATCGGTCTCCCCGGACCCCGCATTCACTATATCCTCTCTCCCCGACCCCGCATTCACTATATCCGCTCTCCCCCGGATCCTGCATTCACTATATCCGCTCTCCCCAGACCCCGCTTCACTATATCCGCTCTCCCCCCCGGACCCCGCATTCACTATATCCTCTCTCCCCGGACCCCGCATTTACTATATCCGCTCTCCCCCCGGGAGGACCCCACATTCACTATATCCACTCTCCCCGGACCCCACATTCACTATATCCGCTCTCCCCGGACCCCGCATTCACTATATCCGCTCTCCCCGGACCACGCATTCACTATATCCTCTCTCCCTGGACCCCGCATTCACTATATCCCCTCTCCCCGGACCCCGCATTCACTATATCTGCCGACCCCGGACCCCTGCATTCACTGTATCCGCTCTCTCCCGGGACCCGCATTCACTATATCTGCCGACCCCGGACCCTGCATTCACTGTATCCGCTCTCCCCGGACCCCGCATTCACTATATCTGCTCTCCCTTGACCCCGCATTCACTATATCCGCTGACCCCGGACCCTGCATTCACTATATCCGCTCGCTCTCCCCGGACCCCGCTTTCACTATATCCGCTCTCCCCGTACCCCGCATTCACTATATCATACATCGCTCTCTCCCTCTCCCGGACCCCGCTTTCACTATATCCCTCTCTCCCCCCGGACCCTGCATTCACTATATCCGCTCTCCCCGGACCCCGCATTCACTATATCCGCTCTCCCCGACCCCGCATTCACTATATCCGCTCTCCCCGGACCCCGCATTCACTATATCTGTCTCCCGGACCCCGCATTCACTATATCCGCTCTCCCCGGACCCTGCATTCACTATATCCGCTCTCCCCGGACCCCGCATTCACTATATCCTCTCCCCCCGGACCCCGCATTCACTATATCCGCTCTCCCCGGACCCCGCATTCACTATATCCGCTCTCCCCCCCGGACCCCGCATTCACTATATCCGCTCTCCCCCCGGACCCCGCATTCACTATATCCTTTTGCTCCTTTATTCTATTCCGGATCCCCTTTGTAGTTCATATTTTTTTGACTATTCACGATCAGTGCCCTGATGATCAGTGCCAAGCAGTGCCACCCACCTGTGCCCATCAGTGTCCAGCAGTGCCACCCACCAGTGCCCAGCAGTGCCCCTATCAGTGCCACCCCAGCAGTGCCGCCAATCAGTGCCGTCAGTCAGTTCCACCCATCAATGCCCATCAATGCTGCCCATCAGTGCTGACTATCAGTGCCCATCATTATTGCATGTCAGTGCTGCCTCATCAGTTCCAGCTCATCAGTGTCACCTATCAATACCCATCAGTGCTGCCTATCAGTGCCCATATGTGCTGCCTATCAATACCCATCAGTGCTGCCTATCAGTGCCCATATGTGCTGCCTATCAATACCCATCAGTGCTGCCTATCAGTGCAGCCTCATCCATGCACATCAGTGAAGGAGAAAAATTTCCTGTTTGCAAAATTTTATAATAGAAACAAAGAAAAAAAAATGTTTTTCAAATTTTTTGCTGCTTTTTTGTTTATAGCACAAAACATAAAACCTCCAGCGGGGATTAAATACCACCAAACGAAAGCTTTATTTATGTGAAAAAAAATTATAAAAATTTCATATAAGTACAGTGTCGCATGACTGCGCAATTGTCATTCAAAGTGTGACAGAGCTGAAACCTGGAAATTGGCCTGGGCAGGAAGGGGGTATAAGTGCCCGGTGGCAGGAAGGGGGTAGAAGTGTCTGGTAGGCAGGAAGGTGGTAGAAGTGTGCCCTGTAGGCAGGAAGGGGGTAGAAGTGCCCTGTAGGCAGGAAGGGGTAGAAGTGCCCGGTAGGCAGGAAGGGGTAGAAGTGCCCGGGTGGGCAGGAAGGGGGTATAAGTGCCCTGTAGGCAGGAAGGGGGTATAAGTGCCCGGTGGGCAGGAAGGGTAGAAGTGCACGTAGGCAGTAGAAGTGCCCTGTAGGCAGGAAGGGGTAGAAGTGCCCGGTAGGCAGGAAGGGGGTAGAAGTGCCCGGGGGCAGAAGGGGTAGAAGTGCCCGGTAGGCAGGAAGGGGGTAGAAGTGCCCGGGGGGCAGGAAGGGGGTAGAAGTGCCCGGTAGGCAGGAAGGCCCGGGTAGAAGGCCGGGGGCGAAAGGTCCTGTAGGCAGGAAGGGGGTAGAAGTGCCCTGTAGGCAGGAAGGGGGTATAAGTGCCCCATAGGCAGGAAGGGGATATAAGTGCCCTGTAGGCAGGAAGGGGTAGAAGTGCCCTGTAGGCAGGAAGGGGGTAGAAGTGCCCTGTGGGCAGGAAGGGGGTATATAAGTGCCCGGTGGGCAGGAAGGGGGTATAAAGTGCCCTGTAGGCAGGAAGGGGTGTATAAGTGTGCCCGGTGGGCAGGAAGGGGGGTAGAAGTGCCCGGGGGGCAGGAAGGGGGTAGAAGTGCCCTGTAGGCAGGAAGGGGGTAGAAGTGCCCGGTAGGCGAGGGTTAAAGCCAAAAGGGGGTCCCTCATCGAGATAGTCCAGGTGGACAAACCACATATCCGTATTAAAAGCTGAGAAAACAAATCAGATCATCTGAATATTCACTGTGTCCCAAATCCATCCAAACTACACCCCTACTCCCCAAAGGAGGTCTGCGGCAGGTTTCTGAGCATGCGCGTGGCCTGGACTGGGCATGCTCGCTCTTTCATCAGCCTTGTGTCCAGGAGAGATAGCCAAACATCCAATGTGCATGACACCTAAAAATTCCCGGCTCCATCTACTAATAAAAGATGTAAAGTCCCTCCTTTCTCTTCCCCACTTTATTCTTTCAGTTGGAAATTTCCTTTAAAAGAATGCTTCAATAAATAATCCTGAACAGTCCGAACCGAACGGCTTCCTCCTCTCGGCATGTATGGGTCCTGAACAGACCGTTCTCGGCGCCTATCTCTGATGTTTCCAGTTTGTGCCATTTTCTGTGTCTTGGTTACTTTCCCTCGTTCCTTCCCCTGTATCTACAACCCATCTTATCTATTCATCTCATCTCTCTCCTTCTTCTGCTCTTTTCCGACTCTTCCTCCAGTGGGCCGGGCCTATGTAGTTCCTCTTTAATAGAAGCAGATCGAGCAGCAATGAGGCATTGACAGCGAATTGAGAGAGCGAGCGAGGAGGGCGAGGAGACAGACGCACAAGGCCCATGGACCCCTACAGGGCAAGATCCCGCCGAGCAGCGAGGGCATGAGTTCCTCCCTCCATCGGGCTCTAGAGGTAGGTTCCCCCATATCAGCCATTTAAAAATGAATTATCATGCAGAGCGGCGTAGTCACTTTGTATATGGAGTTGTGTTGTGTCTACAGTTCCCCCATGACAACACGGTCCATGAGATAAGTGGCAACAGGACATAAATCAAAAGCCTGCACAGCAAGGGGACGAGGAAAATGAATGTGTTTTTTCTAAGCTGGCTTACATTGTAGCAATTGCTTGAAAGGGGTTTTTAAGGGAGATTTGTGCTTTTAAAGGTAATTTTAACAAATGCATTGCCATCGCCTTCAGTTTTCATCGCGGCGAGGGGCGCTCTCATCCATAAATCTAAATTATTATCCTTACAATACGATATGATCTTTTTTTTGCAACGGCGGGTGCTTTGTATAATCGTGACATTTAAATCAGCATAAAAGGACCTTAAACACTTAATGAGTATAATTTAATCTCTCATAGTTAGAAAATGTAATATATATGTGGTTGTGAAAGGTGAAAAGAAAGAAAAAAAAAGAAAGAAAGAAAGAAAGAAAGAGAGAGGGGAGAGCGAGAGAGAGAGAAAACTTAGGGGGGAAGAAAGAAAGAGAGAGAGATGAGATTAATAAGAGAGCGGGGATAAGAGAGAGAGAGAGAGGGGGGGAGAAAGAAAGAGAGAGAGAGAGAAAGAAAGAGGAGAGAGAAAGAAAGAAAGAGAGAGGGGGGGAGGAGAGAGAGAGAGGGGGGGGGAGAAAAAAAAAAGGAGAGAGAGAAAGAAAGAGAGAAAGAAAAGAAAGAGAGGGGGGGGAGAGGAGAAGGAAAGAAAAGAGAATGAGAGAGAGGGGAGAGAGAGAGAGAGAGAAGAGAGAGAGTGGGGGGGGGGGGGAGAAAGAAAGAAAGAAAGAAAGAAAGAGAAAAAGAATGAAAAGGAGAGAGGGGGGGAGAAGTAAGAAAGAGAGAAAGAAAGAAAAAACCAGAAAAAAAAGAGAGAAAGAAAAGAAAGAAAGAAAGAAGAAAAGAATAAAAAAATAGAAAGAAAGAAAGAAAGATAAAGAATGAAAAAAGAAAGAAAAAAAGAAAGAAAGAAAGAATTATCTACAGTAAAAAATAGGGAAGAAAAAAGGAAAAGAAAATAAAAATAGACAGAGTATTGAAAAAGAAAAAAAAAAAAAGAAGAGAGGTAGAGGGAAGAGAGAAGAGAGGGAAAGGGAAGAAGAAGGGAAGGGAAGAGGAGAGAAGAGAAGGAAGGGAAGAGAAGGGAAGAGAAGAGAGAATTGAGAAGGGAAGGGAAGAGAAAGGGAAGAGGAGAGAAGAGAAGGGAATGGAAGAGAAGGGAAAGATAGAAGAGAAGGAAGGGAAGAGAAGGGAAGAGAAGGGAAGAAAGAGGAGGGAAAAAGGAAAATAGGAGAGGAGAGAAGAGCACTTTAAGATAGGTGGAATTTAAAAAAAAAAAGTAAATTTACCATTTTAGCCCCCTTCCCATGAAAAAAGCTAACCTAAGAAGAAAAAATAACAAATACATACCTACCTCAATCTGATGGCCTTTGGAGGCTGGAGACAGGAGATGATTGGAAACGGCCAAAATAGAAGTCTATGGGTCTGTAATGGGTAGCCATGAAGCACTGGCCATCAAATTGAGGTAAGTATGCATCTGGGGGGGGGGGGGTTAAGTTTTAGTTTAGGTCAGGGGAAAGGGGAAAAAGAGGATTAACACGATGGATTATTGCTTCCTGATTTTTCTATTGAAATCAATGGAAATGCATCAAAAGGCAATGCATGCATTCAGAAAGTGCGTCAAAAAGTGTGTCTTGATAAATAAAAAGGTTGTATGACCTCCATTACTGGCGTTGATGCACGTTATGATGAATGTTGACATTCAACATACAAAGCATTGCAACGCCCATCAAGAACATGCGACCATGCGCACTAAAGCATGCTGACATTTCCAATGAGTTCATCTCATAGTTGTGAATCTGCAAGACTCCCTCTTTCATCTGCGCACGTATCAGCATTGTGGAGAAATTAATTTTCAAAGTTCACCACA